TTAAACACACACTTAAGGGATGCTTATGAGGGATGCAATAAGTTTTTTAAAAAATTTCAATGTACGAAGTCTAACTCAAAGAAAAATTGGTTCTACTTTGAACCATTATAGTGTGCAAATTTGCTATAAAGGTGTTGTATTGATCCGTGTTTCAATTCAACGCCAATTAATTAATCGTAAAAATATTAATTATGATAACGTAACACAGTTGCTAACACGTTATTGAAATATATTCGTTCATGAATGAAAGTTTTTTAAAGTTGAAATTTTAATTTTATCTCTCAATGCAAGCCTTGAGGTGTCATGATACTTTCGATTTGTAAGAATATCACTTAGCATTGTGCTCAGAGGAGAGGGTTTAGTTCCTTAAAAAGAAAAAAATGCGAATAGCCTTATTGGCACTTCCCCTATTGTTACGCAAACGTCATTCCTTCTCAGCGGTCCAGTGACTCTGAAATAACCACCCCTTTTTCTTAACTCCTACCCTTTTTCGAATTCAGGCCATGCATTTATCCATGTACAAAAACAAAGCAAAACAAAATAAATAAATGTATAAATAAGCAGAGTTTAACCGGTAATTTATATTCTTTTACGTCGTATGATTGCACTTTTTTAACATTGCATAGATTAAGAATAAACTGCAAACTAACGACGCATAAACTTGAAGCTTATAAACGGTGTAGTAGGACAGTCTTCCCACTAAAATATGCACCGCATTAAATTTGCAATATTTTGCTCGACTACTTTACAATGAAAACTTCTTTAAAATTTTAAACATAGTAAAGGAAAATCCGTTCAACTATTTCAATAGAATAGAACCATTTTTTTTTTAAAAAAATGGTGTTTAAAAAAGAATTCTTTCCTCTCATTTTATCTTTCTGTTTGCATATTTTCTCCGACTACCATTTCATTTGCATGCATTCAAGGCAAAAGAAGATCTTTTAAAATTTTTATGAAGTGGAAAAGCTGCAATTTTACTTAGAAGAGGGGTGGGTAAGGCGGGAAAAGGTTACAGACGAGGGCAAGTGAAAAATGGAATAAAAAAGCTGAAGGCACGAGACTACCACAATTCTATTCATCTTGTCAATCGCTAAATACCAGATCCAAAACCATGACGGGCTACACCCCTCCCCCCTACTCCTCCAATGATGGAGTGAGCTAACCAGATTGAGTCTTCAAGAGAGAGAGAGAGGAGTCTCAAGTCTGTTGAAGGCTCAATTCATAAATAGGGGTGCGGGGACGATAGTTTCGAAACAAGAGGGACTGAATGTGGGGGGAAAACGATCTATGGAAATTTTCTGGTTCTAAAACTAACAATTACAACATGATTCCCCCTTCTCTCTGTTTTGAAAGCTTATTGCTCGCTCGTGGTTTTGATTCTGTGTACAAGTGAAACTAAATTTTTGATTTAAGGGGTTGTTTGGGCTCCTTTTACATGGCAGAGAAGTATTTTTCTGTACAAAATTCCTAAAAGGTGTCCCGCGCCAAGAGAAAGGGAAGGAAAAAAAAATGAAAGAAAGAGAATATTATTCATAAATATGGCATTTAACTGTATGCAAGTTTTAATTTCACAGAACAATTCATTGGACTTGTATATTTTTAAGAGATTAAGGGACCATTCGAAATCAAATTAACGAACAAAAATACTTTTGTTTTAATTTTTTCTCCAGCTATTTGGCATAGAATTTTTTCTTTAATAACAATGTAATTTTACTATGTGGTACTATGACAATTATACTGATTATTTATCGTTAATTTGCTCAAAAGTCAGATTTTTACAGTTACAGTCAGTTTTTATTCCTTTTTTTGGCCTTTGTTAATAGAATGAATGATGTTTATTAACGGAATGAATTGAAATGGTTGCAAATAAGGATATTGACTTTTGTTGTGGTGGTTAATATGCATCGCATATTAACCATATTCAGTCACCGCGACGGGTGATTTTTTTTAATTTCAAAAAATTTTTGTGCTAAAATGTACCTTTTTTCAAAACCCTTTAAACTGTCATAAATTTAAAAATCAAACATAGTCATTTATAAAATTTTTGCAAGAAATTTCGTATTAGTTCAAATAAAAAGGTTTCGAATATTTTCGTTTTATAGGTTCTGTGTCCCTTAAATTTAAAAATTGAAAAAGAGGTGAACTCAGCATAGCAACCAGCATTAGAAGTATAAGTTATGTGCATATATTTCAACTAAACTGCTCCACAGCGTTCTTACGAGATTCAAGGCTGTATTTCTTTCATTAAATAGCTCTTAAACTTTTTTTTCTTTTCATTCATCAGCGCTACAGCCGGCTTCCAGTTATGCCTGTCTCTATCAGCTTATGAATTGCTCTAAATGGTTCTTATTAATAAAAAAATTAATTACCTCACTGTTTTCTATTAAAAATCGTTTGAGTTTACATATTGCCTCAGTTTAGCAACACAAAGTAAAAAATAAAATATTTGGAAGAAAAAAAAAGTATGCTTTAGCACGGTTTACACCAGGTCTATAAAGTATGTATAATTTTGTTTTGAGAATCGGTTTAAGCTAAGATTTCTCAAAATGCTATAAATTACGCATTTTTCAGTGGTTAATGTTATCATTTTTGCATTAATGGTTTACAGAGCAAAGTAAAATGACAGCTACCTCTTTATTCATTTGAATCGAAGAAAAATTCTTTAGCACAAAAGAAAACAAAAAGTTGTACAGCTGTCCTTTTCTTTTGTAAAATTAATTTTCAATTTGAAAATGCAATTAAATATGAGTTTAAAAAAATTAATTTTGACAGTTCATTAGTTGTACAGTATAGAATCTGAATCTTCTTCAGAATTTTGATCTTAATCAGTGTCAAACCGAAAACAATTCCCAAAATAGGAATAATTTTTCCTCGTCATTAATGATATGAACTTGCAACTTAAAAAAAAAAGTCAGATTCAAATATAATTTATCCAAATTAAATAAATAGCGATTAAATGAGATAAAAAAATAAAACCCATACTTTCGAAATATTATGCACGTCAAACGTTTTTTTCTCTCCACCTTTTACAATTTGTGAAAGTTTTATGTGAGAGACTGATAAATCATGTGAAAACAGCTTGGCGACGTAATTTGGCGAAATGATTATTATTTTTCTTTTCAAACTTACCTGCGGTAACCTGTGTTGAAAAGTTGTGGTGTCGAGATAAATATAGCTTTAAGGCGAGATAAGCTCGCACCTTGGCTTTTCCGATGAAACATGGAGATAAAGTAGGAAACCATTTTCATCCCAAGTGATGAAAAATGCTCCCACTTTATCTTCGCGAAGATCGGAAAAGAAAACGTGTTCCTCATTAGTTTTTGTTTCTTTTTATTTTGCGTTTGAACCGTCTCTTTCTTTTCTTTGTTTTATTTCTCGATCTCTCAGTCTTTTTTTTTTTTTTTTTTTAAACACATTCTTTTTTGNCTTCTTCTTTATCGCCTTGTTTACCTTCTAATTTGTTTCGATTTACTCAGACACGCGTGAAACATTTGAGGAAATAATTTCGTTCTGCTTGTTAAAGCTTTATAAAAATGTTCTTCGGATATTGATAAGTGTTTTGACAGCGGGAAAAATATATATATTTGTTTTTATTAACGCTTTTTTTTATTTTAACTTTAAACGTGATGTATTTAACAATTTTTTTCAAGGTATGATGCTGATTTTTTTCGTTTGATAATGTACGCACGTATTTTTTGTATTTGTATTTAGTTTTCTGAAACAAGTTAAAAATTTTCAAATTTAAGTATTGTGTCTTAGAAAAATTTCAGATTTTTCTTTTTTTTAAAATTTAATTTATTTAATTTCTACTGTAATAAAAAGTTATTTAATTTTAAGAAACATTTTCGAGTAAAGATTTTAAAAAGAATTGAAACAAACTAAACAAATATTTTCTGTGTTGGATATGTACCATTTGTACTATCTGATAGTCTTAGGGAATGTTTCTCAATCTATTCGGTCCTGTAATCTCCTCATAAATCAAAATAAGTGAAATAAATAATTCTTGATCTCACTGTTCGAAATAGTTTCGAAAAAGGAAGTCTGTTTATAACAGTGGTGTCACGTATAGACAAAATTTGGAGGAAAAATAAACGAAACCATTCTATTAATTATACAGATAACAAGATAAACTATAAACCTTAATTAATGTGATAACTTAACTTGTAATTTCTGTAAAATATATTTTTTAATCCCTTCTCTGACGGATTTTTTTTTTCCGAATTTCTGAACCAAATGAATGTATGTCCCATCCTAAATTCAAAAATGCTAAATATTTTTGCCAGCAATCAGTTTTTGCTTTGACCTATTGGTGGTGAAATATGTGATGTTCCGTCCTCTAATTTCCAATTATCCCTGCAATGCACCCAAGGTTTATATAAAAAAATAAATAAATAAAGTAAACAAATAAAAACATATATTTAATAATTCTATTGTTTTAACATGTTTGAGATCAATATCTGCATTAAATAATTATTAAAATAAGGTAAAAAATATTTTGGAAAATAATTCTAGCACTCATGAAATAATTAATAATAATTAGTTTTAATACTAATGTAAGGAAATAATTTTAAATTTCTTATCAACATTCAGAAATAAAAAATTAATCGCGAGTTTTTAAGCACTGTGTAAGAAGCGACGAATTAAATTTCAATGCTGCAAATTTATTTTTTTTTGTCGTATTCGACACCGACTATACGGACACAAAAACGTCGAATGTATGAGATGCGACGCTGACAGAGAAGGGGTTCATTTAAATATGAGAAAATGTGATTTTTTAAATTTTTTTTTTATCTGTATGCAAGTTACTGCATACTTTGCGATCCACTCTGCAACCCTCTGTTCGAGAAACAAGAAACACTGCTGCAGCGGTTTTGAAATCATTAATTCAACTACATCCTAACACGTTAATTTTTAATTCTTTTGAGATCTAATAAAATAAAAATAAATTCCGATTGTCTTTATAATTATTCTGACATACTGTCCTTTTTTTCTCTTTTCAGGTAGCAGTAAGTTTTGTGTTTTAATTCTGATTTGATTGATGTATTTGGGAAGAGAAAGAATTGTATTTATGGGTTGTATCTAACAGGTATGTTGTTTATGTCTTAGGTTATCCGTATGATATATTTGCTATTGCGAATGGAGTTGTTTTACAGTACCTTTTGGATCCCAACTTCGAAAAATATCTGCCTATCATCCCTTCCGAAGTGTCTTCCGTTAATTTCACATGGAAGTCTGGTGACCACAAGGTATAAGAGATTCTTCTAAACAAGAACAAAAGAAATGAAGACATTTTTGTTTATTATTGTTGTTTTAGTGTTTTTAAATATGTTAATTTTGAAACGTTTGTATGCATAATAATATAATAATGGTAGGGTGCCGTTTAAATGTAACGCAAGCATATTTTTGACATTCTTGGATTTCCCCTTCCCCCTTGTCAGCAAATATAAGCAAATTACTAACACCCCCTCACTTATATGCTTTCGTAAGAAAATCGCTTATTTTTTGCTTTCATAGGACAAATTTTGAAGTTAAGTTAATTTAAAATATTTTTGTGATTGATTTATAAAAAGAAATTCACTTATCTTATTACCTAAAAATAATTTAATTTCTAAGACTCTTTTTTTTTAATTTTAAAAATGGGGTTTGGGAAGGATTTCAAAAATTTTACCTTCTTACCTTGACTCTAAGGACGAGTTTCTGTTATAATAAATATCAGAATTAATGAAATCAGTGTTTATAACTGAAAAAAAAAAATTAAAAAAACGGTGAGAAATTATTAAACGGACGGATTAATAACAGACAAGAAAAAAAAAGAGCTCACTGTGCTGACTTCCCTTCTTGTTCCTACGCAACCTTTACTGTTACTCAAATTTATTTAAAGTAAGTCCTTCACATAATTTTTTTTTTGCATTTTCTGTAGTTATTTTTGAGGGCCGTACACATCATAAGTGGGAATATAGCTTCATATTGCTACGTGAAATTTAATGAAGTTTGTATGAAGCATATTATAGACCTCATAATCGGTTGACTTTCAGCCGTGATGGCTCAGGGGACAGAGCGTTCGCCTTCGAATGAGGTGAACCGGGTTCGAATCCCAGCGATGGCAGGTCGATACGAATTCCGTATCCGGATTGCACCGACCACAGTGCTGACGTAAAATATCTTCAGTGGTAGACGGATCATGGGTTGGAGTCCCTTTCTCGTCAGACTAACCGTGGGAAGTTTTCATGGTCTTCCTTTCCGTGTAACGAAAATGCGGGTTAGTTCCACCAAAAAGTTCTCCACGAAGGCAAATTTCTCTTAATACTTGACCCAGTTCCCTTGTCTTCTGGATTGAATTCAAAATTACAAGGCTACAGAGTTGAACACTGGTAGTCGTAAACCCGAAATTTAGTCGGCTGTTCAACGACGGTTATAAAATATAAAAAATAAAATGGGTTGGCTTTGAGCCGTGGTGCTTACGACATATTTAAACGGCTCCTAGCGTGAAAGACGTAAGCATAAATTGAAATTTTTTCAATAAATTTCTTTTTTAAAACGTAAAATTAATTAAATGAACAATAAATTAATAGGTTTATCTCTTGATTCATATCTATTGATTTATAAATTAAGAAGTATGATTTTTTTTTCCTTATACAATTGCTTAGTGATTTTGACTATCTAAACTCGCGCGCGCTCTTACAAAAGAATTCCTCAAAAGTGTTCTATTCATAATATATTCGAATATATAAAAATGTGCTATATAAAATATATAAAATTATAATATATTCGAATTCCATGAAAATGTGCTTTTATTTAAATCTTAATTAAATATCCTTCAAAAATATCTTATTTATTTAATGGAGCATTTCATGACATTCATCATTACAAAATTTCGAATTATCCACAATATCCAATATGCGAAATCTATTGATCTCAGACGATAATTTTGAACTGTTCAATTTTATCTCGTAAAAAATGAGCAATTGATAAAGCATTTTTCTCTTAACTCAGAGATATAAATTGTTTTTCCTTCTTCTTTCTTTTGCAGTATTTTTATGATTTTGATCAGCTTAAGTCGTATAATGAAAGCATCCTTGGCGATCCAGTGATCTCTATCAAAACGAAAGGAAAAGTACCAAAAAGACCCAAAGGTAAGAGATATATCGTCAAACACGTCTCCATATTTAAAAAAAGAAAATTGACTTTGCAATAAGTCAAAATTTTAGCCAGACGGACAAACTGGTTCTCATCTAGTAGATGATACCCCTCCCCCTTCCATATTCACAAAAAAGGCTGTTTTTTATATTATTTTTGGCTGGGGGCTTTCGGCGCCAGAATTTCTTAAGCTATGATTAATAATATAACAAATATTGAACTCTAATTTATGGGCTGATCTTTCAATAGATAAACTGATCCATCTTTTCATCAATGATTGATGTTCATCGGTTAAGTTAATGAATAATACTGCTTCATTTGTTTGAATTTTTTTTTCACTAAAAAGTAATATGTAACAGTGTTTCAGGTTTTTCTACCATGCCGTGGCAACTTGAGCGGAATCGTTTATTTTGGAATTGGCCTAACTATACAGAATGAACAAGGGACTTTCTTACCTGGAACTCCGCTCAGATTTAGACTGCAAAAACAATGTGCAAATCATGGTAAATAATATAGCATTATTTCCTTCAAGCGTGATTGATATATAATGATGTATGTTGAAGATCTATTTTTGACAGAAAAGATTTACAGCTTTTTCGATTATAACTGCTGGTATAGTTATTTAAATACCATTTCTTTATTATTTATTTAGAAACTAATTCATATTTTTTTGAATATTTATTGTTTCATTTTATTTATTGTAATGTGCTTTTAGACGCCCGGTGGCTGAGTGGTAGCACCTCGTGCTCTCGTGCCACAGGTCCTGAGTTCGATCCTCGGGCCGGGCAAGGTTGACTCAGCCTTTCATCCCTTCAGTGGGTCTAACAGTGAACACCAAACATGCTTGGGAAGTAAACACTGGGGGTTCTGCATTCGGCTGACTACCTAACTGAAACATCTGCTCCTGCACCCCAGAGCCCAAGAAAACTGAGATTAGCACAGTTGGCCCTCTATGGGCTGTCGCTCCACTGAGTTTAGTTTTTTTCCAAATATTTTTAAACCCTAGTTAAAAGAAATTAAATTTTAAGATTGTAAGTATTTTTGAAACTCAACAATTTTAACAATTAACTTAACAATTTTAAAATGCTTTGTACATACATACATTCTTAAAATTAAACATCCTAAAGTATAAGTTTATATTTCTTATTACAGTGAATGATTTTGAATTTTAAAAAAAAAATCCAACTTCCATTTTAAAACTCTGAAACTAAATTTAACAAAATACATTTTATTCAATAAAATGACACAAAAATTACTCAAAAATGTTGGTTAGTTGCTGATTAAATAAAGGCATTATGTCAATATTTGTATTCGCAGTTTAACATTGGTTAAGTTGTAGCACTTTTCTGTCTGAAGGGGAATGTAATAATACTACATCTCTAAACTTTGTATTGAACATAAATTATTATTGACGAAAATACGTGAATGATGAGAATTTTTATAAATAATCTATACATATGAAAAAAGACGTCCCTTACTGATTAAATGATTCATCATCACAGATCCTAAACTACTGAAGCTAGAAATATGAAATTTGGACAATAGGTTTCTTTAATAACGAAGCCTATTGTCCTATCGCCCACAAAGGAAGGATTTTTTTTGATATTCTAGCCCTGAGGTTGTTAAATAGGGGTTGAAAGGATCTAATCTATAATAATGAAATGAAGAGTTTGATGCATCTACCTGTGTCTTTCTCCAGAACCGTTTGCTCTAGTGTCCTGAAATTTCGACAAATGGATGAAAGGGAGAATTTTAGCCTTTGATCTTAAAATTCGTTTAAAAATTTGAAACAAATGGTTTGGAGAAGACATTTTAAATATGGAATCTTCTGATTGGTTTAGCTCCAGCCATTACTTTAAATTAAACTATAAACGGTTCTATTTTTTTTTTTTTTTGCGTGGAAATTAGTATTTCTAAAGTTTTTCCTCGTTTATTTTGTTTACAATTTTTCTTCTAAAATGTGCTTCTATGAAACTAAATAATTTTAAATCTAAATAAAAAATATAAGTAATGTGCAGAGAAAAAAAAATGAAGCAATAATACTGATTGGTTTAAGAGAAACAAAAGAAAATGTCATACCATAATTGACACCAATGATACTTGATTAATTTTGGTAATAGGTACTGAGCGTATTAAAATAAGAAACTATGAACTAAAAACATAAATAATGGAAAAATAATGATATTAGTTCGATTAGGAGAAACGTCAAAAATCACCATACTATTATTGAGGCAAATGATGCTTAATTAATTTTGGTAGTTTGCACTATTGATATTGTGGTAATTGGTGCAATTTTGGTAGATAGCGAATATACTAATATAGGTCCAAAGAGACCCATGCTATTATATTTGGTACCTATTAAAACTGCATCAATACTGTGTAGTTTTATAACAGATACTGTGGAAAGAGATTTCTTACGGCCCCTCAAAAGTATCGAAAAAAAAATCTCTCAATTACGGTAAATTTCGACTATCACAAGTTGGTCTCGAACCTGTGGCAAACAGATGGCAAATGATACTGAATACAGTTAATCTTTATTTTGACGAGATGAATTGCTAAAAAAATCTTTTGCCCAATGTAATTGCATGAAGCATGAGAAAGGGCAGCAAATCATTATATATATATATATATATAAAAAAAAAATAGAATTATTTAAGCTTTAATTGTGTTAATATATGTCTTTCAGTTTCGCGCATGAAATACTTGCTCTTTAGTACTCATTTATTGTTTAGTTACTTTCTTTCCCTACCCCTTACAAAGAGCAGGATTTCAGTTGTAGTATGCTAAAATTTAATAGTAATATAAATAATAGAAGTAAGAATAACTTCATTCTCGATTGATTTTAATTTTTTTCCACTGTTAAAAACATCGTTGCATGATATCGTGAGAATTTGACAGAACCATATTATCTTGCTAATTATTTCGTTGTGTATACATTATAACACAATATTATGGCTTAATCTAAACCAGTATAATGGTTTCAGTAAATGGTTTTAGGCATGGATTTTATAGTTTTTTTTAATTTTATTTTACTTATTTATTTATTTTTGAGAGTGAAAAAAAAGATTTTCACTTGTGAAACTTACTTTTTGTTTACTATAGGACCAGATCCAGAGTGCGACAAGAAATGTGCAAATGGTGGTCGATGTAATCAAAGTGGAAGGTGCGAATGCAAGAAAGGTTACAATGGACAATACTGTCGAACAGGTGAGAAGAAAATTTATTAGATGATCCCTAAGCATTAAAACTTAATAAAGTTCAGTAATATTTTCTTTTTTAAAAAAAAAAAACATAGCATATCAACGTTCCTACTCATTATTTCTTTTAAATTCATTAACTGTAAATTTATACTATTGAATTGTCGCTCGTCAAATTACAAGTAATTTTCTCACTACTTTATTAAAATCAATAAATTAGGTTTTAAAAAATTAATTCATTACGATATAAAACTTCACCGAGTTTATTTTCCCCCTTGCTTAAAGGCTAGAAGGAATTTTAAAGTCCTTTTTAGTTTCCAACTACTGTATTGAATCAGGCTTCCCCCAAAAAGTTCATTTACTACTTTTCAAGGAGAAATAACTACTCTGCAATTTTGGACAAATGCATATTATTCAAAAAAATAATTTCACCTAGCTTCGATTATATGTGCTCTACTAGAAAACGCTTTGTGGAAAATAATTTTCCCTTGAACTTACAGCCTTTTCCTAAGACCTACGGAGTATCATCGGGACAGTTGCTTACGCAAATGATTATCCCTGTCCAAAAACTGACCATGGGTTTATACAGCGGAATCACATGTTTTTGCGTTAATGATATGTTTCCCAGAAGAAACAAGCTTGAATATCGATTTTTCTTTGCACCTCTTGCCCCTAGAACCTGTAACTCTTTTTCTTATAGACTGAGCAGTGGCATCAGAACTATTGCTTCTGCGGACCGTATATGGTTCAAATCTGCATAAATCGCTCTGAATAATTTGTTTAAAGAAATCTAGAGAAATTTTGAAATTGTGATTGCATATATATAAGTTGCTTGTTTCTCACAAAACTGGTAATCGTTCAACATTGAGAAAAATGGCGATAGTGTGCAACTTCCCAACCAAGTCACTTCTTGGGTCGGTTTTGCCGTAAATAGCTCGTACCTATCCTGCTGACTAGTGTTGGCTTGTAAAGCAACGAAATTGGAATCTTTTGTACCCGCAGCGAGTATATACCTCTGCTCTGATGGTTCTACTATTATTTACTGTTATTATTACTGCTGATCTACCACCCAATACCTATGGATACCTATTTCTTTGCTGGATAGAGTCGTGATGGCTCAGAGGATTTAGCCTTCGCTTCCCAATGAGGTGACTCGGGTTCGATAGGAATTCCGCACGACACTTGCACCGACCACAGTGAGGAGGTAAAATATCCTTAGTGGTAGACGAATCATTAGTTACGGTTTTGATTGGTTCGAAATCCAGAACTAAAAAAGACGAGCCTTATAGGAAAACCTTATTTAGAAGCTTAGGTGTGATGGATATACGCAGAAGAGATTCGATTTCACGCTCGTTCCAAGAATTTTCCGGACATTCCTTTTTAGGCGCGCACTTTTGCATTCTCCAGTCAAACAAACGGTTTTGATTATCTCGAAATCCAGAACTAAGAAGGACGACTTTTAAAGCCTTTATACGCAGAAGATGTTCGATTTCACGCTCTTTCCAAAAATTTTCCAGACACGCTTAGAGAAGGAAATATTGCATTTAATTCTTGTAAAATTTAGAAAAAGGGGTTATTGTTAAAGGGGTGTTAAGAATAGGTTTTTACATCCAGTTTGTCAGGAGAAGGGTTTTCTCACCCTTTATTCTGTCAGGTAATACCTGGTAAGCTGCTTTATGAAAGAACACTTTGTAGTAGATGACATCCCGCAGATTTCTAACACTGCTGTTAAGCCACTTGTAAGACATGGGGAGAGTGCTGACATTTCTATTCTGCAGAGAGTGTGTGTGTTGGGGGGGGAGGGCAAATCTTTATTTCACCTTCTAGGGGTCGGAAAGCACGTGGAGATAATACACAAAAGAAAGGGTCACGTTGACCCAAGTACATCAGCTGTGCTGAAGGAGAGTTCAAAGAAATGAAAACTGAAAGATGATTTATGTCTCTTTTTATGTTTAGGTGTATTTACTGTTATTATTCTTTTTGAAACGTGTAATTTTTAAAAAAAGATGTGTTTGAGATTATTTATTTTTGACGCTTAAAAAGTGTTGGAAGTATTTGACAGTATAATTAGACAAAGAAATAAAAAAAAACAAAAAAAAAAAAACATTGTGACTATTATTAGTGCAAAATTTTCTTGAGTTTAAAACATGGCATGTTTGGCTCTTTTCCAGACTCTTATTTCTCGCCAAATTTTAACCAGCGGTTCATTACATTTATTTTGTTTGTTAGTTATTTTTAATTTCATGTCATAACCAAACAAACAATTTTTATATCAAGGTATTGCGTCCTACCCGTAGCAAAGTGTTTAGATTTATTACATTATTTATTTTAATTCTATTATTTAACTTTTTTTATATTTTTATTCTTTTTTAATTAATTCAGTTACTATAAATGTAATTTTTCTAAATTCCACAGTAATGTCAAACTATTCTTTTCTTTGAACTATGACTATCACGCATAAAATATTTATTCATAAAGTAGTTCTTTAAAACATTTTAAACATATAACAAATGCTCGCTTTTTCAAAATTATTTTTTTTATTACTATCTTCTAAACAAACTCTGACAGCGACAGGAATAAGCAAATAAAACACCTATTTATCGAAAATCGTTGATAATTTTGATGGTTATTCTGAGTACTACTTGCAACTATTTGTTAAGTGTAGCGTTTTTTCCCCTCTGCAAACATCATGTACACAGATATCTTTATTTTCTTTCAACATGTTATTGAGGCTACAAAATCACAACTTTAGTTCATTGTGAGTATACTATTAAATAAATATTAATTTGTCAATTTTCTAATAAACAGTTATGACTTATAAATAAGCTAATATAATCATTAAAGCATGCTTTTATTTGTAATATGGAATGTAGTTTTCTCTAATGAGTCAAAATAATCAATGCTGATATAGATATACCATAAATGTTTGGAATAAGATTAATTTATAGTACTTTTTAGAGTAGAGCATAATTTTACTTTCGGAAACAATGAATTGAAATAAACAATTTTTCTTTATTGTATTGTAGTCATGTTTTCAGTGTTGGGCGAACTGATTTTCATCTTTATTTTTTTTAGCTCTTTGTTATCCTCAATGCATGAATGGTGGAACATGTGTTTCTCCTGGACAATGTTTATGCGCTGACGGCTATCAAGGACCTCACTGTGAAGGGGGTATGTTGTATATTTATCGTCAGAAATCAATATGGTTTCTTTTTAAATTAAATTTTAAGTATTTAATATCTTTCTGTTTCAAAACTCCTATATTTGTTCAATTTTAGGAATGTGCCGTGAGAAGTGCTTGAATGGTGGAAAATGTATTCAGAAAGATACTTGTGCCTGTAGAAATGGCTACTATGGAGCCAGATGTGATTTTAGTAAGTATTTTAAGATTGCTTGGGCATTTGATCTACTGTGTGCAATTCAAATTTACTTGAATGACTCATGTAAAAATGTATACATGGAATTGTTAAAATATTTGATTAATTTCTTTATAAATTCCTACCTCTTCAGTCAGCCTCAATAAATATTTTGTAATTTTACTCGTGTTGTTACTATTTAATTAACTAAGCGTAGAATGTGTATTTAAGGATATTTGGAAATGTTTGTCAATTTTATAATGTTCTGTGAGATGCAGAATAAATAGTGCTTAATATTTATAAGGCATCCACTGACCTCCGGTTGAAAGCTCAGGACAAATACTTAGATCTGGCCAAAACTTAAATTAATTCGAAATAAATAGATTTAAAATTCTGTATTTCCACAGAGTAATATAATGTTGAAATAGTTTCACACATGCATTATCCTAACTGTTTACAAATTTTTTTAACTGTCGGTAACCTTTCTAAATGGGTCTACTTTATAACCGTTGTTGAACAGTCGACCCAAATTTGTTCGGGTTTACGACTACTAATGTTCAACTCCATAGCCTTGTAGTTTTGATCCCAATCCAGAAGACAAGGGAACTCCTGGATCAATCATTGGGTGGAATTTGCTTTCGTGGAGGATTTTTTGATGGAACTAACTGGCATTTTTGTTACATGGAGAGGGGAAAAACGAAAATCTCCCATGGTTAGCTTTACTGAAAGGGGACCCTAACCCATGATTCGTCCACCACTGAGGATATTCTACGTTGTATTAGATGATAGATCTCAATTCTTAGGTAATTATTTTGTCGGTCCAATCGACCCATACACTGACAATTAAAGAACTTTTGAAACTTTTTTTTAGCGCTTCTTTATCTTTAATCATTCGTCTGATTTCATTAGGGTTTTTCGTTTTTTCTTTCTTTAAGTTTTAATTTAATCTTCATGTTCTTCCGAAATTCGTGTATTTCTTCATGCATATCTTTTTAAAAGGAGGGATTCCTCAATGGACTCCATATGCTACGCTATTTTTTCTTTTTTTAAAAACCATTAAAAATAAAAATGTCATCATATTTCAGGGCTGAGAGTGTCATGGATACTGTTTAAGAACCTTTGCCAAAGACAGCATAATGAAATCATTTTCGGCAGTTACTATTTTTCTTGACAATGAAGTTTTGTTGAGGAAGGGTTATTCTTTACAATAGCTTTCAACTGCTCTTTTGAATAGAGTGTTTGAATTTTCATTCAAATGATTATTATCAGCACCCGTTTCAGGAAAACTATTTCTTTCTTGGAAACTTAAACCATCAATCATCATTTTGGTCAGTGCCTGTTTCAAAGTCAACCTATTTTTAGCACCACAACAGCCAAATAATACCAGGTTTCCTGACATTTTACAAATGCATCGTTTTGTCGAAAGGGATTCCGCGGATTTGGTTGCTAACATTTTGCTATATATTTAAACATTACAGTGCTAAACATAGTGTACATAATACATTCTACAAATACTTAATAGTTTTGTAGAAAAATTATTTTGAAATGAGGGAGTAGCTCATATTACAAAAAAGTAGAACGGCTACAAGAAGAGAACAAAACAGCTGAGCTTATTTGTAATGTTTAACAAATTCAAAATATGTCTTCAAAATTGAGTCATAACTCATATAATGAAAAACTAGGGTCTGAAATGCGACGTAATTTTAGTATTATGACCTATCCATAGCAAGAAAGGTTTCGAAATCAAATGCAAATTATTTCAGAATATTTTTGTTGAAATATCCTATTGGCTTTACTTGTGAAGAAAAAAAAAAGAAACGTTTAAATAAAAATCGAATTTGACAATTGTTGATTGCAAAATTTTTGTCCCAAACCTGCTGGAACGAAATTCATAAGAAGCATTAATTCATTCCACAATGAAAGCAATAAGCACTGGAGCATCTTAAATATAATTGCTTTTTCGCAGTTTCACAGATGTGTTTAATTTTATTTTATTCATAAATTCATTTATTATTTATTTACGTCTTTATTTATTTATGTATTTATTCATTTATGTATAGATTTATGTATTTATTAATTTATGCATTTATTTATTTGCTCAAATAAACTACAACAGTTATAGAAACGATAAATATTTAAGATGATTTTACTTGAGAGTGTTTTCATATGAAACAGCGATCAATCGAAGTTTCTTAAAAAAATATTCAAATGCAGAATGTTTTAAAAGATTTAAGCCCTTGTTTTAAGATTTTCACAATAGATATTTTTTTTGCTTCTGATTATATAGTTACATTAATTATCAGGGTTGCCACTCCACAGGGAGAACAGGGAAAACCTGGAAGATAGAGGGAATTTAAAAATCACCTAAAATAACAGGGAAAATGCAGGGAATTTTGATTTTTTTTTCTGTACAAACTGGGAAAATACAGAGAATTTTGTTTCTTATTTTTGTCTTTTAAAAAATGGTGGCCACTCAAAGCGTAATCTATGAGATATTTAACCAAGATATTTCAACTAAACTAAACTATTTCATTTACTATAGCATTATTTAAGTATGTTCCAGCAATTAAAACTAATAAATATAGTTAGCCTAATATAGCTCACAGAAGAGCACAGTAATTGTTGTTTTCTCTTAATATATTGTGTAAAATATGTACAGGGAAAACACAGGGAATTTTTTTTCTTTCCAGATTTGAGTGGCAGCCCTGTGAATGAACTGTTATAGTTTATGAACTTTTATCTCATTCGACAATATTTTATCAGCGGGTATGATAATCACGAAATAACTTAATAAATGAAACCGTGGTGGGTCAGGAGATAGAACACTTGCCTTCCATAAGGAACCCGGGTTCGAATTCCAGCGAAGGCTGTTTGATACGAATTCCGCACGGCCACAATGTTGACATAAAATATCCTCAGTGGTGGACTGATCATGGGTTAGAGTTATCTTACCATAAGGGTAACAGTGATAAGTTTTCGTGGTTTTCCTCTCCATGTAACGAAGGTTAGTTCTCTCAAAAAGTCCTCCATGAAGTCAAATTTCCCCCTATACTTCATTCAGGAGTTCTCTTCTCCAGTGGATTTCGTTCAAAATTACAAGGCTACCCAAAATTAAACATTGGTAGTCGTAAACTCAAAATTGGGTCGGCTGTGTAGTGACGGTTATAAAAAAAAAAATAACAATAAAATGAAAATAAAGTAAAATTGAACCACAAATAAAAACATGATGAATAATTATTATAAATAACTGATTAATAATTATGAACACAGAGCAAGTTTTATACTCAAAATATTTGCTATTTTTTTTATAGGAATAAATAAGCACCACAAGCAATATTATCTTTATTATCATTAGCTTCTTCGTCTTAACATACTTATGCAATTCTATAAATTTATTTATAAATTGATTGGCTCAAAATCCCTTCCAAGTTCAAAAGGAAGATAAAACAAAGGAAAATTACAGACATATGAAAAAAGGGGAGGAAAAGAAAAATAATAATAAAAAAATAACAAACAACTGGGGGGGAGGATAATTTCTTTTTTTAAAAATCCGGAAAACAAAAGATATAATCTTTTCATCAGTCCGCGTGAGTTCTGTTTACTTGCAGCTTATCCGCAATAAATGAAACTTATTGTTTTTCTTAATTTTCTTTGTGTTTTTTTGTATTTATTTATTTTGCTATATATATGTAAGATGTTGAATATAAAGTTTAACATGGAAATCGATTTAATTTTAGGTAAATGTGAAAATCTTCCTTGCTTAAATGGTGGACGTTGCGTGGGAGTCAATAGATGTCGCTGCAAGAGAGGTTTCACTGGTAATCAGTGTGAAAAACAAGTGGAAAGGCCAGCTGAACTTGCAAGACATGGTGATTTTAATTACTGCCTCTTTCTTTTATACGGTTTCTTCAGGAAAAATAATGTATCTAGTATTTTGAGGAGTTTGTCATTATCTGAACCATGTTGAAATGACCAACTCTGAACCATTTTCTCAGATGCTACTGAATTGATTTTCATGAAGTTTTTTTAGTTGTTTTTGTTAGATTCCTCAACTCTTCTAAAATTCTTTTAAGCTGATTTTTCTTCTTAAATTGAGGAAATTTAACTTCTGAAGATGAAATTCACAATTAAAGAATTTCGTTTTGGCAAAAATTAGATTTTAAATATAAATAAAAAATTAATGAAGAAAAGCTCAGGAAACCCGAGGAGAAACTGTGAATCTACAAGAGGAACTAAAGAAATCTTTTGAAAATCAGAGTTGGTCAAATGATTAAGAAAGATCATGAGAAAAATGCCTTTAAGAAAATAAAAATGCTAATATTTAAATATTTGCAAAGATTGCAACCTTCGTATACAAAAATTATACTAGCAATCAAATCGGCGAAGAAAAAATTCTATTGAATTTTCATCCTAAGAAACGTAGATTCTCCTTACTACATTTCAATTTCAAATTATATGTGAGTATTGCAGTACAATACTTTAATTTTAAAATAGTTATGCATAAAGAACCTTTTAAAGTCGCAAAGTGAAGTCAAACCCTTTTAATATGCAAGCATTTCATACTTAGTTTCAGGATGCATGTTGCACATTTAGATTAGTAATTAATACATCGTTTATATTATAGTGGAGCAATAAATTTGAAGGAAATTTTGGTTAAAGATACTATCTGGGTATAACAAAGTTAATTATTCTAGAAGATTTCAAATTTGAAAATAAAATTCACTTCAATTCAAGTTCAAAATTTCAAATTTTGGTTAAAAGTACTATTTGGGTACAACTGAAAGTTAGTTTTTCTAGAAGATTTAAAAAAAAAACAAAATTCAACTAAAATATCAAAACTTTTTCGTGCTTTAAATCGTCATTTAAATTATATTTTAGATTTAAATCTTAAAATGAAAGTGATCGCATTATTTTGGAATTATCTATACTCATTTAAATTTATGCACATTTATTTCAATACAAGTAATTTTAAATTTATTAAATATGTACACTGCTCAAAAAAATTAGGGGAGCCATGTGCTCCCCTAATTTTTTTGAGCAGTGTAGTTAGGGTATCTACTTAAAAATAACGAATAAAGACTTGTTATGCTAAGAATAATTTACTTTTAAAGATGTTTCTGTTCTCAATTAATTAACTTTTCATTCGACAAGTTGGTTCTCTGTCTTTGCGATTCATCAATGTTTTTAGTTTGATGAAATAATTATATTAACCTTTTTACTATTAGTAGTATTAAGAATTTTAGTTACGTTATTATTATTAAGTATTATTTATGCATTTTGTCAGAAATTTGATCGTCAAACGCAAAAAAAATGTTTAAAAAAATCTGACTAAAATTAAAAAATTCAATGTCTAATATAAACTTTGTTAAGCAAAACATGACTTCATTAACCATGGTTAAAATGCCTCAATGTTCCGCTCAGGGCAACTGAAACCCTAAACACGCCCCTGATATCAAGGTAATATTAATAAACCCATAAAATATTAAATAAGTTATTTGTGATATCAAGATCATGATATTTTTTGAATTTTGATTATATATCATTGGCTCTTCTTTTAAATAAACGGGTGGAGATAGATACAAATGTGAGCAATTCATATAAACTATTCTGTATGTAAAATGATAATTTTTCAAAATAAATTCAATTTATGTTCTTTTTTTTCTGTTCATTTTCTTAGAAGGGTGTAGAAGATGTGTGAATGGTGTTTGCGAAAACCACAAGTGCGTCTGTGATAAAGGCTGGATTGGCAACAGGTGCAATAAGCGTAAGTAGATTAATTGTTTGCATTCTTTGAACTTCTTTTCTTGGCTTTGCTCTTTACTATGCTTTGGGTGCTTAGGCTTTTTTATGTATGTAGGCTTAGATGCATGATAATGTGCATGACTTTCTACAATTGTTTTAGAGGGATGAATTTTTAATATTACGAATTTGAATGAAACTATAGTTTTCCTTTGCCTTAACATTGCAAAGTTACTATTTTAAAATTTTGTAAATTTTGTAAATTAAAAACACACAAGTTTCATAAGAAAGTTTTTTGAGTTGATAGCTTAGATGGAGAAAAATGGAGAGGCTTGAAAATACTGAACATCTGGCACAACGTCAATTTCCAAGTAAAAAATTAAAAAGTTTTTGCTATTAGCTCAAAATTACAGTTCTAATTTGTCTTTCCAATCTATGCTTTAATTATTCTTATTGGATCTAATTAAAGTGAAAATGTTTTCAACTGCGAATTATTAACAAGCATCTATCTTAAGTTCAAAACTCAAAGACTGGCGCAGTTTGAACTTTATAACGATTTGTTATATTCATCATTTATTCAAAAGAGCTACCAACACTAGATCAAGGAAATAACATCCAGATTAATGAGTAACATTCTCAAGCATCAAAATAACTAAATAATAACAATAAAAGTTAATAGAAATGAATGAACTGTTTGCTATGACTCTATTTTGATTCAGTTACTTAAACTGATCCTTAAGTTATTAATTTTTTGATTAAAAGCAACACAGTATCAAAATCAAAATGTTAGAAAAAATACTCGCTTTGTTTGAACATTACGAACTGAATCTTTTAATCTGGTAGATTAATGATGATGATTATCATTATTTGAATATATATATATATTTTGATATGATCTCCATTGTAGTCAGAATTTTTTAGTGAGATGATCGTCATCACCTTAAGTCTTCTTCAAAATGTGCTGAACAACATGTTTCAACGAACTCTGTCAAATCGCCATTTGTCAGCTTTCAATAGTTTCCCACTACCGAAGATACATTGATAAGTTAATCATTAATAACAGGATATTGATTAAAATAATACTATGCATGCAGATCCTTTATATTTTCATCAATTACCCAATTTAATTATCACCTCCGGTACTGCATTTCAAAGAAATTTAAAAAATCATATTAAAGATTATAAATAACAGGAGAATATTTTAAGAACTGTTTTCTGTAGTGCTACAAGATTGCATGGGTGCTGGTTATAATGCATGCATAAAATCATGCTTTGTGTTTTGTCCGTCTATCCACGACTTGTGCAAAAAGCTCATAGCATATAAATGTGTATATGTTTTTGTAGGAAAGCCGAAAAGGAGGCGACAACGGAAACTTTACCAATGATTTGTGGTTCCTACTGTTATTCCTGTTGCCATGCGTTTGGATAATTTTTTTAATTACATATCGCTTTATCTATGTTGATTTTTCCTTACAACTAGTGAAGCTGTTGATGTTTAGGATGAATTGCCTATACATGTATCGTGCCAAATTCATCAAGTTCCAAACTCTCTTCGTCATTTTGAACATGATCTATTTTTGATACAATCCGAAAAGATGTTAATATGTTGTCCTTGTTCACGATTACATTTATGTGAATTATTCTTGTGCAAAATGTTAACAGTGATAATTTGATAACTTTTGCCCTAGTCTGGTATGGTGTTGTGAAATATTCTTTCCATGTTAGTACGTGTTTTAGTTTAATGTTTTTAAAAGGTGATTTAAAGTTAGAAAATGGTGAAAGAAAATGAAAACATGTTAAAAATTTGTTTTCTAGAATAGAAAAATGTAGAATTAAGGTAGTTAAAAAAACGGCTATTTTAAAGCCATTAAAAAGAATTTTTTCCTCTTTGGCCATTAAAAAAATTCTAAAGTTGGTTATTTTATTTGTATAAATATTTCTAAAATTTATAAATATTGTTATATATTTTAATAATTTCACACTAATGAAGAAAACGATTGCATTCATCAAGTGCGTAGATTAGAATTTTTATGTTGTGTAAATTCATGAATGCTTCTAAACTGCAAAAGTACTTGAACTTCTTATGATATACCGGTTATACTATATGTATTAGTACAAATATAGAAAATATTAATTATTATACAAAATTGATATTAAGCTTTGAAAAAAAAGTATTTGAAATTATGATCCAATCCTAAGGAATATTTACTTAAATTTCGAAATTAAGTAAAATATCAAGCGAATGAACGTTTTCGACAGAGATTTGTTTCCGATTAATAAAGGAGTATAATGAAAATGAGTTCGGTGAGACTTGTGTTATCTAAGCCTTACCTAATATACTTATCAAATAAATGGTAAAATTAGCAGCTGTATCTCATTTTTGGTGACTACATTCTGAAAATAGTCACAAAAAAACCGCAAAAAATTGCCATTTAAAGTTTGAAAATAGTTTGACTGTAAACCATTATAAGCTAGAAAATTATTTTTCATCTTTTAAAATCACGTCATCCATAGATAACACTTGTTAAGAGGAAACAGTAAGCTTCGTGGGCCTCAAACAAAATACGAAATGCGTCCAGTGACGCAGCATTCGTATTTCGTGGTTTATTTTATGTTTTTCATCGTTCATATGAACGTTGAAGCTAATTTGAGCTTAACACACGCCTGCATTTATTTTGTTTTTTTAACATATTGGATTAGTTTTGCTTGAATAAACTTTATAGCACCTCATTTTTATGAGATATTTTTATTTAAATTATTTGAAAAATAATTGAGGTATTGTAAACGTACAAAATAAACTGTGAATAATTTTATTTTTCCAAAAGAAACAACCTAAGAAAACCATTATGAAATTTAGGAAAAAAATAACCTTAGTTTTTCTCTCGAAAATTATGCAAATATGTTTAATATATTCATTTGTAAAAATGTTATTTGCTTAAAGTGTTCATTCGCAGTGATGTGATTTGCTTATTTGGTTCTATTTTAGCTTTTTGTAGCATGTGCTTACAAATCGCAAAGCTTGTAAAGAAAATTAGATTTCTTTTTTTAAAAAAGATATTCAACTTCTTATTTTGGCAGATTATGTAATTTACGTAATATTATTAATACTTCCAGATGTCCCCTAAAAAGCCGAAACTTTATTTTTACTAAAATATAACTTATATGTTATTTTTTTACGTGTTTAAACCGGAAAATAAATACATAAGAATATTTTTTTTTATAAATAGAACTCTTTTGAAAGAAAATAGAATTATATATCATATTTAATGTAGCTACTTACTGTTCGTCATCAACTGAATTATGTTGTAAAAAGAAAAATACTGTAAATTAAAAAAATAATAATAATCATTATTTTGTTCCATAAAATGTTATTTACTGGCATCATACCAAAAGAGCTTCGCGTAAATGTCTATTTTAGCGAGACTATTAAGAGTTTTTAAACACTCTCATTTACGCATTAAAGAACATGTTATAGTTTACAGGGTGTCCAGTAAGCTCTCATACAATATTTATGTAATGAAATGTACATATTCCAAAAAATTCTATTGCCTACAAATTTATAACATAGAGTTTAAAGAATTTTTGGAAAAATATTCAAATGTATGCAAATCTTTTAAAATTACAAGAATGTACGTCATATCGGTTGCCAAACAAAAAGAAGAGAGTTGTAAAAGTTAGGCCCTGTGTATGAGTTCATGCAAGGCATTCTGGAGATAAATTTATCTTCTTCAAAGAAAAGACAAAACTGAATGATGTAAAAGCATTCCTGCAACTGCTCGTTGTAGATTAAATGGTCATTGAGGCTAAACCTCCTGAATTTCGTAACCTACAGCATGATGGTGGCAATGCGCATCGACCGCTTGTGCCTTCCAAGTCTGATCTGAAGCGGTGGACTTATGGCTGTATGAGAGCTTATAGGATACTTTGTATAGTTACATCAGATGCCAGATACATGCAGCTTTCTGATCTTTCAATGCATTCTAAAACTAATTTCCTGAAATTTACAAAAAATAATTTTAATCATGTTCTACTACTAAAGCCTTCGATGAAGAAACTTACAGTAATCCAAATAAATATTTAGAGATTTTGTCTCCTTTCTATGAGATTTTTTTTAAAACCATTACTTCATAAATAAATTAAAAATTGAAAAAAAAAAAAAACGTGTACTGCATGGATACAACTACGGTGGAATGTGCAAAATTTTTAACGTGCCTTCAAACAACCTATAGTATTGAGATGGAACGTTTCTGACGGCTTTAAAATTTTAGGAGACAATTGGGAGTCTGCTTTTTTTTCTTCTTTTTTTGTATACTTAGTGCTATTACTATGTTGTGTCGCATTGTTTGATTTTAGTTCTGTGAATTGTTTTTCTTATATATTTTGTACTTCCTGTATACATTTTATAAATGTTTTTTTGTTGTTGTTATTTTATTATTATTTTTTTTATCTTCACGGATGCATAATTCTTCAACTGATGCTCCAAAGCAAGAAGAAGAAAATAATATTTTGAGGTTTTACTAAATATAATTAGTTTTATGATAAATTTGCAAATCTTCCGCGTATTGAATCACAGTGTAGCGAACATAAAAATCGCTTATTTTGATAGTCTCAGCAGAGATGTATTTTTTTTTATCTGAAGTTTTCTAAACAGTTTGCAAAATTTCTGTTGATTGTAATTGTTGAATTTCATTACTCCTAGCATAAAGAAGCAATTAACTTTTTTGGTTTCGATAAAACTTTTGTTTAATAAAAAAACTATTTATTACTATTATTTTGGCTCTTGAAAGTGTTTAACTCATTAACGCTTCATAGCTAATTTTTGAAGTTAACATCGTGAATATGAATTAACATTATCTGATATTCCATAATTTACATAAATTCCAAATTGTACTTATCTTCATTATAAGTTTTTGTGTTGTTTCAGGAGCCTTAGAACGTGATGATATATCTGAAGATTCAACGAAAGTTTTAGAAGTGAATAATATGGTGACTTTAGATATGTTAGACGAAATAGAGGAAGATTTATTACGGTACGATGACGATAATGATTGAGAAATATTGGAGTTGAACCCGTATGAGAAAGGCATCACTTTTTTTTCCTTCACAATCATGCTTTCTCATAAAAGTAGCTCTGCCTTTTAATTTTTAGGTAATCGAGTAATTTTTAGTGAACTGCTAGCGTGATTTTGAGAATAATTTTAAATTCTAAAATGGAAATGAAATTTATTATTATTAAAGAGAAAACTTCTTATTACTAAGGAGAAAACTTCTAAATCATTGTTATTAAAATTTTATATTTTAGGAATTTCTTTGTTGTACCAAGTATTGTTGCTGACAAGACCTTGTTTAATAATTGTTATATATTTGAATGGAATTTTAGTCAAGTGAATTCGATCGTAACTGATATACGTAGTTTGGTTTGGCAGAAAATGATGAGAAGTGGAGAAATGTTTTGCTCAGTATTGCTATTTTTTACAGAAAAAATGCAGTCGTCTATAACTTGCTTAAGAGCTTTTTTTATATGAAATAGTGAGTCTGAAGGTTCAGGATGCGTTTAAAAATTTACATTTAGTGGTACTTGATAAAGAAGGTCAATTCTCTGATTAGTGTTTAGTAATGTACTGAACATAGGAGATGAAATTCGTTCCCTGAAAAATTGTATGTTTGGTCCCACATTCTAGATAAAAATTAAGCATAAGTTATAAAAAATGTTGCAAATTTTTCTAACTCATTTCAATGAATTTAAATAAATTTAAACGAATATCAAAATAAGGAAGTACCTATTTATAATTCGTTTTAAAACTTTAAAAAAAAGATTTCTATATCCAAAATATATTCAAAGAAAAATTTTTTTATTTTAAAGTAAAAACTGGTGATAATTTATATCCGTAAAAAGAAGAAGAAAAAAATAATAGTTAGGATAATTAATAATTTTGATTCCAGAAAAACTTTTCAAAATAATGTCAAATAATTGTTTTCATATCTATGTTGATTTTTAGAAGGAAACTAATAAAAAATAAACCGAACTGGGCTATGTTTTTTTAATATATATATTTGACGGGATATTATTTGGTTAAGTTGACAAGTAGTAAATTAGGAATTCCATGAAATATTTTTAACGTTGATTTAACAGGAATTCTATAGTTTAATTTGATTTTTTTTTTCTGCTTTGAACAGTTTCTTTTTGTACATAATTTTTATCTATACGTTTAATGATCCCGCGTGAAATAGCTGTGGTTTCAAAACCTTTTTGAGGAAGAAAAAGGAAAACTTGGAGTGTTTGTTACTTTCTATGGTTTTTGTTTTTAAGAAATAATTACAACGAGAAGGAGACAGCTTGGTTAGAAACGCTCTTTAACGTTTATTGTTGTAGATATGTAGTGATTATGAAGTATATGTAAAAAAATGTGATATCTATCTATCTAGTGTGTCGACAATTTGAGCAGAGCATTTTGAGGGGAAACAATGTCCTGTCTGTTTATCGATGTATGTATAAAGCTGTACAGTTAGAAAAATAAAATTTTGTTTATGTATTGTTTTTAATAGTTTGAAATGTTTCTTAGTATGAAACTATAACAACATTACAGGCGAAAATAACACCCACCTTATATCAATATCATCGCCTGATTTTTAGAGGTGTCTTTAAATCACGAATTAGTACTTTTCTCAGAATAAAGGATTTATCGTGTCATATAATGGCGGGACAATTATATTCAAGAAAATAGACTTAAAAATTGCCCTTACTATCTAGAATTTTAGGTGAAATTTTTAATTTTCAATTTCTTGATTTTTTTTTCTTTTTAACAAACATTTGATAATCTAGTATTATTTGACAACACTAGACCTTCCAGAAAAAAAAAAATCGAAAATAAAAGTCCCGTTTTATTAGTTTAGTCGAAGCAGTGCTATACAACTTTTACAATTTCTATGGACTTTTTCTCAAAAATGTAAAGTAATAATTTAATATAGTACATTTGTCCGTTTTTAGATTTTTTAAAATTTATTTCTATTGTTGCTATTTTTGCTGTTTGAAAAATTGAAGCTCTAGGAAAATATATAAACTTCAGGAAAAAATAGAAGTTATTTAAAAAACTGCTGCTAACCGTAATATTTGTATTGCAAAGACCATTTAGTTAAGTGAATAAAATAATAACAGAAGAAGAGAAAGATTATTTTAAGATAGTGCTGCCATCTATCAAACAAGAAACAAGAAACGAAGTTTTAACTACCTTTTTTAGTTTTAAAAGAGAATATATTTTATTTATTTATTTTTTAGAGCAAGCTTGAGACTACACATAATGTCAATTTTTAAAACTTATTAGTTTTACTCAATTTAATTTTTTAACGTTTAATTGAAATTTATTGTTAAAATTTAATAATTCGAGCAGGTTTGAAGATCAGGACAGATTTCAGTTCCAATAAAAAAAAAAAAAAATAGCATTTTCGAAAATTAAAATTTAGTGAGATAAAATTAGCAATTGATTTAAAAAATAGAAAAAAGGTTTAATTAAAAAAAAAATTACCCACATACACAGACATGGTGTTGTCATCTATCGAGGAGGAAACAAAGCTTAAAGCTGCCTTTGAATTTTTCTTCTATTATTTCTTCGATTGCTTTCTTTTCCTCAATTTTTTTTAAAAATAATGCATTTTCTCAGGTATCTTTTGAGCAAACATGATTATGCGATGTTCTTTTTAAAAATATTTTAGTTTTGTTTAAATTTTACTTTCGTAATTAAATTTATTTCTTCAAGTGTTAATATATAGATTTGTTAAAATTACATAAAAATTGTTTATTAAAGTCCTTTTTTTATTTATTAACATTTGTTTAAACGCTTATAAATTTAATAAAGTTATAAGATTTAATTTTATTCTTTCATTTTGATTAGAACAAAAGTTATTTTCAAAGAGGATTAGATTCATCAAATATTTACGGACATTCTAGGACATTTATGCATTCGTAATTTTTTCCAAAGTTGAATAGTTTATATTTTATACAAATTTTAAACCCACACTAAAATGTAACCCTGGCTTCAACTTGCAATTTCAACTGCACATATAACAAGACAAAAAGATCCTTAATTTTCTAGAGATCAATTCACATTTAAGGACATTCTCTCTCTGTAGGGAAAAAAAATGCTTTTTTTTAGTAAAAGGGATCTCTGGTGAGAAAAAATGAAACTGATTTTTTAAATTTCATGATGATTGCTCAAACAAAACACAAATTTAAAATAGCACTTTAAGTGGTTTTTTCATAAAAATTTGCTACAAAGATGGTCATAAAATAATCAGTTTCTAAATTTCAAAGCAAATCAAAAATTAACTTTTAACCTTGTCATGTGATGACCTGGTTATGGATGAGAACGTTATTATCAAAAAATTTCTTTATTATTTTATTTAATTTCCATCTAAACAAGATTTAGTAGCTATTCAAGTGATCCGAAATTAATATAGTCAAATTATCAAGCGAATAAATTTGATAATGCTGAATAATTTAGTAAAATATAATCACGAATTAGTAC